GTGTGTGTGTGTGTGTGTGTGTGTGTGTGTGTGTGTGTGTGTGTGTGTGTGTGTGTGTGTGTGTGTGTGTGTGTGGTCAGTTTCATTAGATCTTTCTGCAGGAATGAGCTGTTTGTGTTTTATGGTTTGTTTTGAAGCCAAAGTGTTGATTGAGCAGCTGTTAGCTCCTTTCTGCATGAAACCAGTTAACACCCACATCATCCACATGTTCCTGTCAGACGTCCTACAGGAACAGCTCAGCTCCTGTCTGCATGAAACCAGTTAACACCCACATCATCCACATGTTCCTGTCAGACGTCCTACAGGAACAGCTCAGCTCCTGTCTGCATGAAACCAGTTAACACCCAAATCACCCACATGTTCCTGTCAGACGTCCTACAGGAACAGCCCAGCTTCTGACTGACTGGATCAGAAACCTGAGAACGCAGCAGAGTGTGCTTTAACACCTGGATCATAAGAACAGACTCGTGTTTCACTTGTTTTAAATGATTCAAACCAGTCAAACCAGTGTGTTGAATCAGAAAATGTTTGTTTGTTCCCAGTCTGATGTAAACATGTTTGTGGCGGCGGCGCTCTGCAGGGTCCTCTCAGCTGCAGTGTGTAAATACAGTGTTCTTCATACTGCCTGCAGAAAAACTGCAGCTGCCTTCTTCCCAGTAAAGATATATCCATCCCAGTTCAACCAGTGACTGGTTCTTCTGCTGCTCACATCATCACTGCCAAACAATGATGGACACTTTTAGGTGTCCAGTAAAACCTAACATTTAATATCAAAAAGAAAAGATAAGTAGGTCCTCTGGTCGGGTTCTTCTGATCCTTTTGTGTCTCCAAGAGACGACTTCAGACCAAACCAGTCACCATTCCACATGTGACTGGAAACGTCCCAGTGACTTTCAAACCCCAAAACACTTTACTACAAAGATTAGTTCACCACAAACATCCAGTTCTCCAGTAAAAACAGAGTAATATAGTGTATGCTGTTAAGTGTCAGGAGGACTGTGATCAGTCAGACATTGAAGAAAGAAAACAGCCACTGTTCAAAAGAATGAGCCAGCACAGATGATCTACATCATCAGGTCAGGACTCTGCAGTTTACACTCATCTACAGGTCAGGACTCTGCAGTTTACACTCATCTACAGGTCAGGACTCTGCTGTTTACACTCATCTACAGGCCAGGACTCTACAGTTTACACTCATCTACAGGTCAGGACTCTGCTGTTTACACTCATCTACAGGTCAGGACTCTGCAGTTTACACTCATCTACAGGTCAGGACTCTGCTGTTTACACTCATCTACAGGTCAGGACTCTGCTGTTTACACTCATCTACAGGTCAGGACTCTACAGTTTACACTCATCTACAAGTCAGGACTGCAGTTTACACTCATCTACAGGTCAGGACTCTGAAGTTTACACTCATCTATAGGCTAGACTCTACAGTTTACACTCATCTACAGGTCAGGACTCTGCAGTTTACACTCATCTACAGGTCAGGACTCTGCTGTTTACACTCATCTACAGGTCAGGACTCTGCTGTTTACACTCATCTACAGGTCAGGACTCTGAAGTTTACACTCATCTATAGGCTAGACTCTACAGT